AAGTCTTTGTATTAGAAACAAAATTTTCTAGAGTGCCAACCAAGAGTTCTTCAATTAGTGAAAAGGTTCTGGTGGAATTGTAGAGAGACCAAGACTCTTAGTTAGACATGTGAAAAACCAGAGGGCAAACTCCCTATCAGCTTGCTGTCTCCTCCTGCTCACATTCAAAATCAGATTAAAACTATATCAGAGCTCAACGCAGCACATTCAAGAGAGAAGGCGATTGGTGGTGGAGGCCGATATAATCATGTATTGTTAGGTTTGATTAATGAGGGACCACAAATAAGACAGTGGCTATACCATGCAGCCTAGGTATGTAGTAGACTTTATCATCTAGATTTGTATAGAATTACACTATGTTGTTAGCATAAAGAACAAACAGACACCAAAACAGAAATAAAAACAAACTCTGACAATGCATTTCTCAGAGGATATCCCTACCGTTATGTTGTATGCCAGTACTAGGGTATCTCTGAGGGTGACAATGAAGGTGCATCCTGACCATAGACAAGAGGAGACTGTCCCTTCCAATTGCTATTTCCACTGTGCATGGATGCACAGCAATTCCCAAGTGTGCCCAAGGATGAGTTTCATGGGAGAAAGAATCTGACTGTTGTGTTTACAATACAGGTAAGGAACCATCTTTCATAAAATACACTTTGTGAAGGAATTGGCTAGTTCAAATTTTCACTTCCACTGTAAACACTGTAAGGGCCTAGCTCGAGAAACATGCCTTTGTTTATTTAGTTTATTCACCATTCCTTTATTTTGTTTCCAAAGTGTGTATCTAGCAGAAAGATTTGCAAATTAATAAAAATATCAAAGAGAAAAGTTAGAGTCGAATATAGCAAAGCTAAAAGGAAGATGCTCACAGACATGCACAGGAAGATAGATTTGAATAATTGCTAGGTTCTCAGACAATTCATCGTTTCATGCTTGATTTGAGGGGATAACAAACTGTTTCAAGATGTATAAAAATGATTGTAAACATTTTTGTATTTTATTACCTGGATCATAAATCAGCATATAATAGAAAATATTTTCATTTTTATCAATGATATAAAAAGAGATCTGCACAATCAGTATTTCCCCTATTAATACATGTTTGAGATGAATCCATAGAGAATTAAAATACTGACGCTATGTCATGGCATATTTTAAAGTTTAAGTCTGCTTGGCTAAAAAAAAGTATAATTCTTTGTTTTGCATATTTTATTGGGCAAATCGGCAGTTTTTTTCTTGGATACTTGATTAATAGGCTATTTCTACTGACAGTAAATGTTTTTACACACCAAAAAGAAAAAAAAGACTAGCTTAAAAATAAAAAAGAACTTAACTTTTAAATTCCATTCTAGCCTTCTGGGAATTCCTGGGATTTTTTTGAAAGCTGATCAACAAAGAACCTGAGGACATGTTTCCTGTTTTACCTGATTGCTTATCTAAATAAAGAGAGACTACATTTCAACAAACTTCAGGGAACAAAGAACATTCCTTATAATTGAACACAGCCTCTTTGTCTTCTTTTATAGTGTAACCTATAATGGGTAACTTCTAAGAGATTTTTATGTGGTGTAGAGAGACAGGATTTTTTAAAATAGGAAAAGGTGACAAGTGTTGTTCTATAGTGATACCTGACTGGGAGCTGCTAATCCAGGCTCATGAAGCATGGAATCCTGGTTACTGTGATTGCTGACATGACTGCCCAACTCGGTGAATGCAGTTCCTGAGGAATATGCTGCTTTACTAGCAATTGTGAGGGGAAGTGACTCTAGAACATTAGATTTAAAGGATCCATGTTCTAAGAGGCAGAGATCTGTTGAACTGAGCTTGTCAGTTTATCACTTGCACAGAATGGAATCTGTTAGATTCCAATAGAAATATGTTCATCTGTCATATCTTTAGAGAGGACTTTGGCTTGTAGTGATTTTCTCTGAGGAAGCCTCTCATTTAAAGGGACATTAACCCCGCAGACCTATCGTACTAGAGAATAAGGGAAAAGGAAGGAGAAAAAAGGAAAAAAAAAATCTGTCAAATTATTTACTGCCTCATGCACATCCAGTGATCCAAATAAAGCTTTGTCCTAATTATCTGATTGTTAATTTACTTTTCTGTTCCTTTAGATCAGGCTCCAATCATCAACTGAGGTGTCTAGACAGTCCCACAGAAGACGAAAGTCAGAGAACCTGTCCTTTCTGTTCTTCCACTATTTCCCCATCTGGTCTTGCTCTTCATTTCTGTGATTTGATACTTTACAAATGTGCAGTTTATTCATTCTTCTATGGTCTTTTACTTATTCACTAAATAATTCTTCTACATTCATTCAGTCATGAAATATTTAGTGATACATTCTAAAGAAGGGTAATTCTTTCTGATTTTATTCATTATTCTATCTTTTGTTCCTGGAATAGTACCTAGAAATAGCAAACAACAGTCACTGAATGATTGAATGAATGACTTGATTGCTAGCTTTTGGCTCCTTGTCTTTATTTATTAGCCTTTCTGCTCCACCAGGATTTCACTATTCTTTTAATTTCTCTTGCATTTTGGAGATCCATGTTCCTAAATAGTATTTAATAATACTCTATCTCCCAATCTTGCTCTCTCCAGTGGTTCCAGGTGGGGACTTCTCAAATCAACCCTGTCCTCCACAGAATATCTAGTCCATTGCACCCAGAGCTAACTAATATTCCATTAAGAGTTGATGGGCAGGGAGGGCAAGATAATATAAACACACAATACTTTTATGGCATGAAACAATTTCTAATAGGCGAAGTTGTATAAATAATACTGTCTTTTTAGTAAAAAGTAAAGGTTAGTAAGATTTCTTAAGGAAAGTCAATTAGTTGTTCCCTAAACCCACAGGATCACTTGGGGGGAAAAACAGGGTTAGAAGAAATAGGGGACAAAGACATTTGGATGTATGATGTCAAGATACATCTTAGTACAATTAAGAAAAAAAATGCTGGCAATGAACTTTAATGTTGTTATCCTGGTATTTTGCCAATTAAAGTGCAAAAGATATAATAAGTGTAACTATGATTTTTCATTTGATAATGAGTGAAAGAAATACATATTTTAAACTCAAACTCATTAGAAATGACCAGTACAAACTAAAAGGTAGTATTAATCTCATTTTTGCTGATAAAATAATAAGAGGCAGAAATCAAGTGATCCTCCTAAAGTTTTAAAGGAAATCAATTATTACAACTTCCCATCTCCATTTATATTGCAAATTGAGTGAAAATGATTCACGAATACAGGTTTTCCCCCATTACCTGAGGGTAGGCTACTTCCTCCACTATGTGAAAATAGAACACTCCTATTTTATATGGCTTGACAGGTTATTTTTTGGGACATGGGAGTGCTCAGAAATTATTCCATACAAGTCAACGGTAACAGCAATCCTATTTTTAGGCAACCAAAAAAAAAAAAAGCTACCAGGGGAGATAATATATGCAATGTGTCTAGGCTGCTTCTTACCTTTGAGCTGGCTGGTCCTCTCCCATATATGTGGCCAGCAATACGTCATTAGGGTAAATTCCAGGCAGGTGGGTTCCAGCCCCATGCCTTGACCTGCTCCCATGAGTCCCTTGTATTCTTCTGAACCGTCCACATTTCTTTTGCCCCTGACCTCTTACCTCATGTATTGAGGGCTCCCAGTCAACACGCTAAATCATTGCTGGCTACTTCACTAATATTTTTGGTTTTTCAATATGAGTATGACTCCCACAGGGCTCAAGCAAATTTGCTTTGAGTCACTGGGATTCTTGGATAAACTAAAGCATCAACTTCATCTCTGCACAACTCCTACGGCAGGCCCTTCTTCCTAACAATTTCTAAGAACAGAAACTAAACATATAGGTGCCTTAATTTTTCATTTTTAGAGTTTCTATTTTTGACGAAGATACTTTAAATGGAAACCCAGATTTCTAAAATGAGAACAAATGCAAGGTCACACTTTTTACAATTTCTCTAAAGAACAATGTTTTTTATGGTTCATTGTACAACATTTGTTCAAACCAGAAGTGGATCAATAGTATTTTATAGGTCTCTTTCATGCTAAACCTTTGGTAATGGTACAATAAATTTTGTTACTTTGGTTTGCTTGACTTCAGAGGCCCTATAACTTGCTGGGGAGATACAGGACCCAAAGTTTGGGGTTATAGAGTCTGACTGTGGAGATAGGGGAGGTGCAAAAGGTTTTGAGATTAGTCATCTCTCCTTCCACTACCTCCACCTGGGTGCTACAAAAAAAAAAAAAAAAGCCTGTTTTTCTGTTTAAACCGTTGAGTAGCTTCCCCACACGCACACAAAAATCACAATTTCAAATTTATTCTTACCATGCTATTTCCCACTTGTTTTTTTAGCTTTAAAGGAAGAAAAAATAAATGCAAGAAAATGAATTCTGAAGTAAAAAATCATTTAGCCAGTAAAGCTTGTGGTTTTGCCTGTAATTGTTTTCCTTTTTTCCCCACTCATTTGAACCGGCATTTGTATCTCTAGCGAAGCTGAGGGAGGCTTCCTTTCAACAACTTTATATTCCTTTCTCAACTTACCAAATCTTACACTACTAGAGGAATTTCATCTTAATGATTAGAATATCGATCACCAAATTTTTCAGTATTGAAAACATTTTTTTTCATGGCAAAAAACATATTTGCTTCAAAATCCTAGCATACTGAGAACACAAAGCAAAGCGAACAAATGATCACAAAAATCAAAAGCAATTCCACAAAAATGCTATTTACCCCACACATAACCAGCAAACACATCAATAACAGACACCCTATTCTAGTAGGCATCACATATACCACATATTTATGAGTCATAATAGCATCAGTTTCAAGATACTTATAATTTTCATGCATGCATACATTTCAACAAATGTCTGCCAATAACCAGCTGCAAACAAAACACTAATTGTAGTGCACAAGAATGAAAAAGGCCCAGCCTTTGTCTACAAAGAGCCTCTAATCAAGAAGAAGAAACAAAGTACTTACACTATGCCACAGGTAGTGGAGCTGAAGAACTCTGGCATTCTCTGGAGTGAGACTGTGTTCATGTCCTGGCTTTGCTATTTATCAGCTCTCCAGCCCTCAGTTTCCTCAGTGGAGGAAGGAGGGTTAATAAGAGTTTTCATCCCATGTGTTTGTTGTTAAGGTTAAACAAGATAAGGTGCACATGTGCTTAGTGCAATACTAGTCTCACATTAATCAAGAAATATGTTTATGGAGAACAACTGATAATGAATGACACTAAAACAGTCTCATACATTTACAAAGTTTGCGAGGATGAGACATTCAAATAAAATGGTTCAGGAGAAGGATAATCCTTTTTTTGTCTCTTGGTAGAAGAATGCTCCAGAAGACTATATGCACTGATGACACAGTAAAAGAAAGAGATTCCAATTACTGAGATGGAGCAGAGACAGAAAAGGAAATATCCAAATTGAATGTAGGGGATGTTTTAAAAAATTTAGAGACTGGAACTATAGAATTTGATGCTGCACAAATATATAATGGGGTTTTCTCTACTCAGTAGCATCGTCAATATTATTTTCTTATTTTTTTGCTCCCAAATGCTAAGGTTGGGCCCTTGTATCTTGGGGAGAATTGAATATTTGGGTTCTATCAATTTCTGCCTAAATTAAGAACAACTGTTATTACTCTGGCATCTCCTGCTCTGTGCTAGGTCAATTACCTTCTCAAGTGTGACTTTTTTTCTTTTTTTTTAATTTTATTTTATATATTTTTACATCATTTTTTTACTTTTTTTGGTATCTCTAGTATGTTCTACAGATAATAAATGAAGACTCTCATCTCTGTCCAGTGAGAATTCAAACTTCTCCCAATTCCTTGTTGTTCTGAACATAAAGCTTTCTAGTTGGCTTTTCCCCAGCCTGAGGAATTTCAACAAATGTGCACACTGTTTATCATTCAAGAGAAACCAGGGGATGTATATGCAGATTCCTGGAGCTTTTTGTTAATGTTGCTCCTTTTTCTCCAGTTCCCAGTACCAGTTGCAGACACCACAACTACCTTAATTTCTGATTCCCAACCATTCAATAGTCTCTTTTGTTCTGTGAGGATCTGCATTTCTGCACCATGATCTATAAAATCTGTTGTCACTAATTCTGTGAACATAGGACCTATCTCACTTATTTCCTTTAAGGATACACAGTTGTAGGGGCAGGACAGGACACAGTGCAGGTTTTCTAGGATCCCATGCAGACCGGGTAAAGGAGGAGTCAGAGTCCTCAGTGACTTTTTGCAGGCTTTTATTGGGATTTACCCAGTACACAGCAGGCAAGGGTGCTGGGGGGGCCGGGAGGCTGGCAGGCCTCTCATCCCCCAGCAAATCCTCACTCTATCTGGGCTCTCCGGTAATCTCTGCTTCTGCTTCTTTGCTTCTCTCTCGGCTTCTGCTGGCATCCCCGTGATGCTGCCCTTAAAAAAAGCCCAGTCTCATCCCAGGTGAATCCCATCTACCTACGCCCACACCCTATTCCAGCTGCCCGCCATCAGGCATGCATTCAGGACCGCAAGGATCCATCATCTATCCTGATGGCGGGAGGGCAGAAAAGCCTGACATTTTTCCTTACCCTACAACAGTCTTTATCTGTTGTCCAATTTTTGAAAACAGTTGTTTCATATATTTGTTCAGTTCCTACTTATTTATGGGTGAGAAAATAAGTCTGGGTCCAGCTTATTCCATTTTGGCTGAAGCAGAAGTTGCTCAAATTAGCATCCTAGGGATTAAAGGCATGCCAGGTAATTCTAATAGAAAGACATGTTTGCAAACAATTAGAGAGTGTAGAGAGGTCCTCTCCTTCCCTATACATTGAGAAGCTTCCTCACTGGAATTAGGAATGGGTTTTGCCAGCCAATATCCCTTTAGCATTTTGGGTAACTCCCCTATTTCCCCTGGGAGGGGGTGGTTACTCTCACTGACATCTGGGAATAGCCATGATTATTTGATTCTGTGAGACTTAAGGTAGAACTTTTGGAAGCTCACTTCTTGCCAGAACCTGGTGTGCTCTAAGTTTAAGGGAGGAGTGTAGTCCTATTTTTTTTAAAAAAATATGTATTTATGCATATAAGAGCTGGGGTACAGGCCAGAGATACAGGGGATGAGAAGATTCACCAGAGACAGAGTGGGGAACAGAACAGGCAGACTGACTGAAATGCACTGCTGAGGGGAGCAGCAGGCGTGGCAGGAGAGGTCTGCGTGCCATGTGGAAACCTCGCCAGTGGCCAGGGATCTAACCGGTGCTGCAGAGGCTGCGGGCAGCTTCGCAGCCCAGCGCTCAACCGCTGTGCCACCAGGGAAACCCTATTTCTTGTCTTTTTGATGATAGCAATTCTAACAGTATGACATTAAGGTCACTGTGATTTTGATTTGCATTTCCTTGATGATCACTGATGCTGAGCATCTTTTCATGTATCTATTAGCCATTTATATGTGTTTGGAAAAAAAAATGTCTATTGAGGTTTTTTGCTCTTTTTTTAATTGAAAATTTGTAGGGGATTTTGTGTGTTGCTATTTTTTTTTACTACTTTTTTAAGATTTGACTTTACTTTTATACAAGAGCTGGGGTACAGGCCAGAGGCACGGGAGGGTGAGAGGATTCACCAGAGACAGAGTGGGGAACAGAACAGGTAGACTGACTGAAGTACACTGCTGAGGGGAGCAGCTGGTGAGACAGGAGAGGTCTGCTACCATGGTGGGTATCTCCCTGGCCGGCCAGGAATCAAACCCATGCTGCAGAGGCTGCGGACAGCTTCACAGTGCTGCACTCAACCTACTGTGCCACTGGAGAGCCCGTGTGTGTTGCTATTTTTATGACTTACTTTTTTTGGATTTTTATCCCATATTCAATATATGAGTTGCAAATATGTTCTCCCAAACCATATACTCCCCTTGTTACTTTTAATTTCAATTGTTCCTTTTGCTGTGCAGAAAATTTACTTTGATAAAGATCATTTGTATATTTTGCTTTTGTTGTCAAATCCAAAATATCAAATGTCAAGGGGCAGTTCCCCTATTCTATTATCAAAATTTGGTGATTTCAGTTCTCACATTTATTTCATTTTGCGTTTATTTTTGTGAGTATTATAAAATAGGGATCCAGTGTCATTCATTTGCATGTGGAACACAATCCACAAGTAAATGGTACCCTGAAAAAGCAGGAAAAAGCCATATTTATACCAGAAATATAGACTTTCAGATTAAAAAAAAAGTATCAAGAGACAGGCGTGGACATTATATAAATGATCAGGAAGGCATAATTCATCAATATATATATACACAAAATGAAGGAGCATCAAAATCTGTAAAATAAGTATTAACAGGGGGCCTCCCTGGTGGCGCAAGGGGTTAAGCATCAGCACTATAAAGCTATTGGCAGCCACTGCAGCACAAGTCTGGTCCCTGGCCATGGAGCTGACCCACAAGGCACGGCAGACCTCTCCTGTCTCACCTGCTGCTCCCCTCAGCGGTGTATTTCAGTAGATCTGCCTGTTCTGCTCCCCACTCTGTCTCTGGTGAATCCTCTCATCCTCTGTACATCTGGCCTACACCCCAGCTCTTGTATGCATAAATAATAAATAAAATAAATCTTTACAAGAAAATAAGTATTAATAAACCTGAAAACAGACATCAACAGAAACACTTTAGGAGGAGAGGATTTCAACAACCCATTTACATCAATGGACAAATTAACCAGAGAGGATATCAACAAGTAAAGATACCTTTAATGAAGAAATTAAGCTCAATGGGCTTAATAGACATTTGGGGTGGGGTGGCACTGGACCCCAAGAAAGCTAAGGACACATTCTCCCTGAATATACACAGAACCTTTTCAGAGATAAACCACATGTAGGGTCACAAAATAAATGCCAATAAATACAAGTAGATGGAAATCATATCTTCTCTGATCAAAATTGTATCTAACTAGGGCCTCCCTGGTGGTGCAAGGGGTTAAGCACCACACTATGAAGCCATCCACAGACTCTGCAGCACGAGTTTGATCCCCGGCCAGCCAGGGAGCAACCCACATGGCGAGGCAGACCTCTCTTGTCTCACCCGCTGCTCCCCTCAGCAGTGTATCTCAGTGGATTTGCCTATTCTGTTCCCCACTCTGTCTCTAGTGAATCCTCTCACCCCCCGCATCTCTGGCCTGTACCCCAGCTCTTGTATGCATAAATAAATAAATCTTTTAAAAAAATTGTATCTAACTAGAAATCAACTACAAAAAGCAAGCAGGGAAAAATTCCGCTAATATGTGGAAACTGAACAACACACTACTGAATATCAGGGATTAGGGTTTCAACATAGAAATATGCATGGTTACTGAATCTTTAACAATGTTCACATCTTGGTGCTTGCATGTTAAAGTGTTTCTCAGCTTTCTTCATATCCATTATCACCTTTTAAAATATCACCCATTGGAAATCAGGCCAGTGCTCTGGAGAATAGTGGTTTGTTTATTTGAGTGAGTCTGCACAATGACCTAGAAAGAACCTTACTGTTAAATCCAAATGACCTACATTTGAATTCTAGCTTTAACACTCCCAATCTGGGCAAGTTATTTACATTTTCTGAGACTCAATTTTCTCATCTATATGATGGAGATAATACATCCTACCACATTGTTGTGAAGCCTAAATGAGTGACACACACAGAAAAATACTTGAGTCATATATGATGTTAAGATGTGCAACTAATCTGTGGCCTTTAGACTTCTATTTAATCACTTATTTTAGTGATGGCTATCAAAATTTCAGATCTTATTGGTAGTATTCATAACAATTGGCCATTGACTATGTTGCAGACATAGTTAGGAGTAATTTTGCATGCATGTATTATCTAAATTAATATTAAAAAATCCATACAATAATTATTATTCCATGAAACAAAGAGAGTTTCTACTGGTGTGTAAGAGGAATTTAGTGGGCATTCATTTAGCCTGCTCAGAGGCAGAAAAAAGTGAGAAAATGTAAGGCAAGAGGTCCCTAAACTATGGGAAGCCAATTTTGATTTCTCTAATGCCTTGAGATCATAGAAGAGGGTGGCTGACAGTACTGTCTGTACTCTTAAAAGGGGTGGAATATTAACTTCCTATTGTGGAGGTATGTGTCTGCCTAGCATAGATGACTCTGTAGCAAATAAGGAGAAATTTAGTGACTTCAAGCAACACACTTTTATTCTCTTAGAGTTTGGGAGATCAAGAGTTTAAAATGGGTCTCAGGGCTTCATTCCTTATGCAGGCTTCAGAAAGGATCTATTTCCTTGTTTTTCCAGCTTCAAGAGGCTTCAATATAGTCTTGGACCACAGAATCACATCACTCTAAACTGCTTTCATCATTGCATACTCCTCCTCACTGTGACTCATTTGTCTCCCTCTTACTCTTACAAGCAACTTGTGATGATGTTGATCCTGTCTGGATAATTGGGGCCGTGTCTCTATCTCAAGATCTTTATTTTAATGCAATCGGCAAATCTCTTTTGTATATATGTGATCCTATTCAGAGACTATGGAGATGAGGATTGTATGGGGGTGGAATTCTTTATGGGGAGCATTATTCTACCTACCACAGATGACTGTGGGCTCCATCATCCCCCTCCCACAACCATCTGGTCCAGTGGATGGATTTAGTCTAAGATGGGCCAATCAGGTTTATCTCCCAAAACTTTGGCATTTGGTTATTAAGGTACTGGTCTTAACTGTAGGACAGTAAGGAATTTGACAGAAGGGCCATAATCACCACAGTAAAACAAAACCAAGTACAACTTGATGATGGAGACAGGGATATTAGCAGAGACTGAGGGAATAGAAAAAGCTTGGTTTGCGGGGAGAAAAATGAAACAAACTTGCAGAGTTTGTTTATTAAAAATCTCTTTAAATCTCTTTAAATCAATCTTCATTAAAAATCTCTTTTTTCTCTAGTAAGTCCAGTTTTAAAAGTCCTCTTCCTTGTAACCAGAGCAGTTGTAGTTAGAGCCAAGCTTGATCAATGCAGAAGTTGTGTCTGAGAAATTTTCCACCAATACTGAGACCCTATCGAAATCTGAAACAGGCATCACAGAGGATGGATGCATTGGAGGGCCCACAGGAACTCCAAAAAGATAAAGAACATTGAGGGATTGGGCAGAAATCCCAAATACATAATTAGGATTTATATGCTATCCAAATGTATATTGGGACTTTCACTATGCAAATGATTTGTTGTCATTTAGTCACACTCCCAATATTGCACTATGACTAAAGAAATGGATCAGAAGAAAAGGATTCTATGAAGTCTTCTGGCTGAAACACAACAAAAATAGCCTCTACTCATACTGCAGCAGCTGCTGCTATATTTGACACTACTGAGGATTCAGCAAGCACGAAAGCACTTTCTATGCATTATCTCACTGTGTCAAGTAAGAACCCTACAAGGAGAACGTATCATTTTCTTCATGTTAAACATTTCAAAACTGGAGTCATCTTAGCCTAAATGTTATTTGTGTGATTAAAAATTCATTAATCCTTCAATAGTAAATCCATAATCAAACCCATATGTTTACATATGAAGGGAAACTTTCAGGAAAAGGGGAAAGGAATTTTAGGAGTTCACAGTGCTGAGAATGTATGGTCTGGCTGTAATTCATTGTCTTTAGGCATGATTTTCTCAAAAGATGATTTTTTTTCTCCCTGAAGCTTTTTCTTCTATCTCCAACTCCTTTTTTGGTCTTTGATAGAAACCTCTTGCTTTTTCTTCTTTTACAAATGAATGTTAAGGAAAAGAGTACTGGTTGAAGTATTGTCTCATGCCTATGGCCTATTGTTCACATGCATGCAAAACTCTTATCTCTCCTGCATTCATGGACTGACAGGATGCCAACCTCCTGGAGACCAGCATGTGTAATTACAAACTTGTTAAGACTATTCTCTTTGACTGTGGCTATTAGATTCAGCCCCTGGGTGCTCAACTGTTTTAAAATTGTGTAGTCTGAAGTTTTCAATTCAGCAGAGGCAGTTTCCTCTTAAAATACTCTGTGATTGTAGT